TGATTTACTGTGGGCACATGTGAAACTAGAGAACCTGTGTTGGGTAGGGTTGCCGTATCTTCAGGATCCACTTGGAGTGTCCAGGTTTGCTGCCCCCCCCCCAAGAGGCAGGTGGAAGCTTGCAAGCTTCTGTCTAGCAGGACACAGCTGCATATTCCTTTGCGTGGACAGGCGGAGTCCCCCAAACCCTGGGTGGCCCCCCCTCATGTGGAATAATGACTCAAGACAACATGCTATGAGATTAAATTGGCCACAACTTTATTGAATTTCAAATGTGGGTAGACCTTGGCTCAGGCATTGGGCGTTCTCCCTCCCCAGTCCCCAGCCGGGGATCTAGGGAACATCAGGGTTATCCAATGTGTGGGGGCGGATGGGCCGGCTGTGGAGAACATATGTTCAAGCAGAGATAGCTGCCCGCATTACGCCGCCGTCGCAGGGAAGAGCAATGACGACCTCTCGGCGTATGGTCAAAGCCTCCCCTCAAAACCCCTTTAACAGGGAACCCTGGTATCGCCGCTGCAAAGAGGAAGATAGACTAAAGAATTCCGCCCAAGGCCTGATACCGCCAAAGTTGTGACGTTTTGCTACGGGAAAGGCGAAACTTGCCAATGCAGGGGAATTCCTTTCCGGCCCTTTAACAGTGACCTTGACGTAGCAGCGCCCACATACTTGTGAAGAAAGGGTTAACCTGCAAAATGAGACTTAACTGAGGGTGGGCAGGGTGGGAGAAGCTCTGGAGCCAATTGAGGATTCCCAGGTAAGATCCTCCCTCTATTGTGTGGGCAGGTAGTCCCTCCCCTACCTGGCCTGGTCTCCTTGGCAACGCTTCCCCCAGGCGGCATTGGACAACTGACTGAGGTAGGCGGAGACCTCCAGGTATCCCGCCTGGGGAAAGGCGAAGCCAAGCCTGTGCTGATGGAGCCGCTCCAGGTCCAGGGGCTGCGCGCGTCCACGCAAAGGGCGCCCCCCGTTTAATGTGAGGAGCGGTCATTCTGGTAGGGTCTGCCCTCCTCCTCCACCGCTTCCCTCTCCCAATTAACCCCCTTCTCTGCAAGCTATTGCACAGACTTTGGAGAGGAAGTCTGTCCTCATCTCTTCTCCCAATTAACCTCCGTCTCCAAACTCCTGCTTGCCCTGCCACCTTGCTATTTACCACTGCATCAGAGCAAATGTCAGTCGGGTTCCCTCCAGATCAGACCCAGGCTTTATAGGTGTGGGGCAAGCAATATGTGGACAAGCACTCAGTGCTGGGAGGAAGCACAGAGAAAGGAAAATAACTGGTCTGGGCTCAAGAAGAGGGAGGGGACAGTGAGGTGGCCTTTGGTTCTTCTCAAGTGAGTCCAAGGAGGCAAGGGCAAGAACTGACCGAAGGAGACTGATGTGAGGAGAAACGAGAGGGGAGGGGAGAGTTCCGACTGGAGGATATATTTATTGTTATTTGAAGTGGAGTGGAGAGGTGGATAATTTCAGAGGGAAGCAAGTGTAGTGGGGTCTGCCTCAGAGGCTGAAGAAAATAAAATGTTTGACTGTGAATTTCCCAATCCCATTTGAAGGTGGAGGGTTCTAATCAGAAGCCACAGTAATGGACATAACGAAATCACTGGATATGTCAGTTTGCATTTATTAGTGCAGAAAGTATTGAGGTGATGTGTAGAGATCTTTCCTATTCTAATTAACTCTAGAGGGTACTGGAAGCTTCTCTGTGTGAAAGACGCAAGCAGAAGGTTCATGATGTTTGGGTTATTCCTTCAGAGAAGCCGAGTAGAGCTGGCTTAAACAGGTTCTGTTATCTCTTCTGTCAAGATCATGCTTACTATAACGTCCTCCCATCAGATGTCAAGGAAATAAACAACTATCTGACTTTTAGAAGACATCTAAAGGCAACCCTGTTTGGGGAAGTTTTGAATGACTGATGTTTTGATGTATTTTTAATATTTTGTTGGAAGCCACCCAGAGTGGCTGGGGAAACCCAGCCAGATGGGCAGGGGTATAAATTTATATACCTCTCCCTCCCTCCTCTCTCTCTCCCCCTTCCTTCTCTCTCTCTCTCTCTCCCCCTTCCTTCTCTCTCTCTCTTGCCCTTCCTTCTCTCTCTCCTTTTCTCCTTTCCTTCTCTCTCTCTTTCTCTCCTTCGGTCTCTCTCTCTCTCTCTCTCTTCCTTCTCTCTCCCCCTCTCTTCCTTAATTATTATTTTATTATTATTATTATTAGGCCAGAAGGAACCTGGGTTTCACTTTCTCTTTCTATCTCTTTTCCTTGTGTGTATGCTTAGTGTTAATGTTTAGACTTATTATAAATTATTGTACGTTTAAGTCTGCTGCAACTGGATTTCTTATGGACTGTGCCAATCCTGAATATATTGGATTTGTGACCATGATGCTCATTTGCCTTCAGTAGCAGTAAAGCTCTGCTGAATGAAATACAATTGCCTCTGGTCTATTTTTGGGGAATCCTGCGAAGTGTTTAAGTTTTTACTCTGCTAACTATACGTCAGAGTTCTACTCTGGGTCATATTGAGTAGGATTCCATGACAGGACATAGGGGGGAAAATGATGGCGGGGTGGACAGGGTGTTTAGGAAAAATGAAAGAGTTTTCCAAACTAAAATCTGGATTGAGCTATACTGATTCACAAAAGGGACTTCTGCTAGCACCATAGTATTTCTGGCTCCCAGAACACAGAGCTTGGGAAAATAAATTGTGTCCGTGTTTCAATCAGAATCATCGATTCAGAGTTGGTAGGGACTCTGAAGACAGTCTTATCCAACCCCCTGCAATGAAGGAATATGCAACAGACTCTTATGGGAATCGAAGCTGCAACCTCAGCATTCTCAAAACCACTCCAATGGAGCCATCTAGCTGAACAAGTTTGGAAGATTCTGTTCCTGGTGTGAAAAAAGAGGATCCTTGCCATTTGTCCTCCAGTGGCCAACAACTCCCATCTTAAACACAAAGCTTGGGGAATAAATTTTGCATCTCTGCTTCTGTTTCAAGCAAAGCCTTGTAAGGTTGAGCTGCCTTGTGCTGCTGTCCCCACGCCCTGCTAATATTCCAGACAGGTAGACCTGCACAGGTGATCTCAGATGTGGATGTTCATGCTAGATATTCCTGTGAACTCTTAAAATGACTCATCCTTGTTTGTTTGTTTTCCCTAAACACCTTAAAGAGTAGCTAATAATATAGTACAGTGGTACCTCGGGTTAAGTACTTAATTGGTTCTGGAGGTCCGTTCGTAACCTGAAACTGTTCTTAACCTGAAGCACCACTTTAGCTAAGGCGGCCTCCTGCTGCCGCCGCACCACCGGAGCACGATTTCTGTTCTTATCCTGAAGCAAAGAACTTAACCTGAAGCACTATTTCTGGGTTAGCGGAGTCTGTAACCTGAAGCGTCTGTAACCTGAAGCGTATGTAACCCGAGGTACCACTGTAGTAGTATAAGCATTGGTGGGAGAGGTTAGATATTGAGATCAGATGGGAATTAAAAGCCTACATACGGTACAGGGTTGGCCATTGCGTCATTAAAACTGGCTGGTCACAAGAATAGTTCACATGCGTGTACAATTTTGCAACAGCAATACACACACACACACACACACGAGTGGTACCTTGGGTTACAGATGCTTCAGGTTACAGACGCTTCAGGTTACAGACTCCGCTAACCCAGAAATAGTACCTCAGGTTAAGAACTTTACCTCAGGATGAGAACAGAAATCGTGCAGCAGCGGCAGCGGGAGGACCCATTAGCTAAAGTGGTGCCTCAGGTTAAGAACAGTTTCAGGTTAAGAACAGACCTCTAGAACGAATTAAGTTGTTAACCCGAGGTACCACTGTATATATAATAATAATAATTTTTTATTTATACCCCGCCCTCCACGGCCAAGACCGGGCTCAGGGCAGCTAACACTGAATATAAATACAGTAAAAAATAAAAAAATAAAAAATAAAAACCCAGTTGATTAAAATATAAGTTAGAACACAGTTTAAAATGCAGCTTAAAATGCAAAAAGAAATACCCACAAGAGAAAACCCACAAGAGGAACACTCCACCTTATCAGAGGTTTCTATCTTAATTTCCAACCAGTGACATATTTCCTCATTTGTTAGACTGTTGTTTTTCATATGAATGACATGCTCTCAGCGGCTGTGGTTAACTTTGTCATGCTTAATTACATCACCAGGGGCCACTGCTAAGTCGCAGGTTTGGACCCTGAAATCTGGGATTTCCCAACCCTAGTTATGGGTCTTTCTCTTTCTTTCTTTCTTTCTTTCTCTCTCTCTCTCACACGCACACACACACACACACACACCCAGAGGTGTGGGCTGGACTTCCTGTAGAGTGCAACTGGGGTAGCAAGAATTAACTCTCTCTTCCCAACTGCAGGCTTCAAGAAAATCAAATAGGCTTGAAAAAAATTCTTCTCTTGGCTACAAGAAGATTTCTTTCAAACCTAATTTCAGCA